AGAAGAAAAAAAAAAAAAAACCCAATCCTCGAGGAGCCAGTCTTAATTCACGCCAGGCAAGAGTACTAAAAGCTTGGCAGAAAAGGGTTGCAGCTCGGTCGCTTGGAAACCCTTCTTCACGAGAGATTACGAAACTCGAATCGTGAAAAAAAAGTTTTTCGCGAAATTACACTCCAAGAAGAGATACCCCGCCTCTTGAAAGAGCATCCAAGTTTCATTTATCCGACCCAACCCTATTCCAATAAATCTTAAGGATACATCCTTGATACGTAGTCGGAATCGTTCGAGCAGCAATGGTTCGGTCGAATACACTCGAATGTTAATTCATCCGAGAAATATGTTTTGTGTCTCCGAAACCCCATTTCGTGTTTCCAACGAGCTCGAGCTTCTTACATGTTATGTAAGTATGTAGTAGGATAATTTATTAATTTATCATTATTTTTAGAATCTTATCTTTCTTATTGTTCGATGTGATTTTATTAGATATTGTCCATAAAAGTCCTTTCATTGCAATTTAATATATTAATTTAATTCAATTAACTAATGATTGATTTATATATGTTCGATAGATTTTTTTAAATGAACTTATTTTTTCCAAAATGTTTTCTAACAAAGTTAAAAATTATAAATGTGAATCTTTATCAATGCTTCATCAAATCATCCTTTGCAATGATCCAACAATATCTGATATATCTACTCTTCCTTTAATTTTAAGTTAAAAACACTATATTACTCGTCTAACAAATATCCATATCTCTTACGTTTAATTCCAACAAGCAAATTTTCACTAATCCTAAAATATATCCGCTTAATAGCGAAATATTATTATACACGAATCATCTTTTACAATTATCTATAACAATACTTTAAAAACCGACCCATTCGCCAATGCAAATTTCCATTTCAAATCCCAATTTAAATAAATTAAAAATATGTAAATATCCGCGTATCTCGGCTCGAAAGGGGTTGAAACGCGCCGTCTGTCTGCACGATTCGGTGAACTGGTTCTGGTGGCCGTGTCTGGCGGGGGGCGGGAAAGGGGGTCGAGTCCATAACCGCGCGACGCGTGCCGTTTTTAGCGTCGAGACGCCTTCCGCGTGGAACACTGCCAGCACCGGGACGCCCTCTCGTTTCCACAGGCAGACGGTATGGCCGCTCGGCCAATCAGGAGCGCCGCTCGCCACACTCGCCTCCAACATGGCGCTGTGTGCCGCGTCCGCGCTACCGGCCAGATTACCAGTCCGGGATTCTCGATTCACCAGCCACCGTCGATTCACCTTCTCGTGCTCAATTAACTCTCGAATCTTATTATACCCTCACGAATTTATGGTTCGGGAATGGAATAATCTACGGTGATTGATGATCGAGGAAAATTAATCGAATGGAATTTTTTCCTCGATGTTAATTTTGTGATCTTGTTTTTTTTTTTTCTTTTTAAATTGGTAGGATGTAAATGGAATTTTGCTTGGCAGAGATGTACATTTTGAAAGTTGAAAAGGATTAATCGATTTCTCTTTTTTTTTAAACGAGTATATATTTTCCAAAAATTGTAATTAAAGTTTTATTTCAAAGAATTAGACTAAAATGAATTTCAATTTTATATTAATTATTCGTCTTTTCGTATATATCGATCTACAATCAATTTTAATTATTCATCTTCTTAAATATTAATATTAAAAGAAAATTAAAAGAAATTTAGGTTAAAATCAATTATCTTGGATGTTTTGTAAATTTCTTCAAAATTTTTGGAAAATATAAGGATCAAAAAAAGAAAATATACCCCACTTAACTTATCCTAAATCTATGATTTTTTTTTACAGCCTGAATGGTTCTCAGTCTTGAAATAAATTAATGGGTGGAGCATACACAGATTAGCCTTTCGAAATCTTTAAATGAGATTTCAAAACGGTATGGTTTAATACCGATTAAGATATCTACCAACCACCATCGTAGCTCTTTTTTTTCTTTATTGTTAAGTTGGCCACCTTTGAAAGAAACCGCCTTTTCGAGATAAGAGGACGAAGAATTTTTTTTTTTTTATATCGCTGTGTGATATTTTCGAAGGTGAAAAGTCACGTGATACCTATATTTTCAGTCAAGTGATAAAAGAATTGATTGCTCGATATCGATTTTTAGTGAGAAGTTTATTAAGATAAGAGCTATAAAATACAGAATCATATATATTTCAAGTCATTTGTTATTTTAATTATTTAAATAACAATCACTACAATTACTAAAACCAAATCAAATTAATTATACATTTTTTTTATTCCTCTGATTATTAAAAATATTCTTTGGACAAAATTCACATTCAATTTCACATATCCATAAATAATTAAACAATTATTATAATATCAATCTACAATTTTAATTATTCATCTTCTTAAATATTAATATTAAAAGGAAATCAAAAGAAATTTAGATTAAAATCAATTATCTTGGATGCTTTATAAATTTCTTCAAAATTTTTGGAAATTTAATTTTTAAATATTTATTTAATTTATTAATATTAATTTATTTAAATTTTTTAATATTTTTAGATAAATAATCACAGCTCGACAGCTCTAATTATTAATAAACCAACACTAAACACGAAATCTATCAGATATATCATCATATGCAACATTATAATATAAACACATATTCATACATTTCTTATTTTCCAATTTTTCCGTTTCAGTTATTCATATCACGACTGGTCATCGGCCTCGATTAAACAAACAAACAAATAAACAAGCAAATAAAGCCCAACGTTCAACCAGAAGCCAATTTATCTCGCTCACGTTCGCCCTTCCCCAGGAAACGAATCTCGCAAAAGGCGAACAACACAAGTCCACCGACTCCCCTAATGCAGCAATTTCGAGTCGACTCGTGCTTTTTCTTTCCTTCTTTCCTTCTCTCTTTCTTTCTCTCTTTCTTTTCTCTTCTCTTCTCTTCTCTTTTCTTTTCTTTTCGCGCTCGATCGTTTGTATTCCACTCCGTCTCTCACACACCTATATACCCACTCGAACGCACGATATGGACCCGCAGATGGAACAAAGTATAAGCGTGGGATATTCCATTTGGCCAGGGACGTGAAAGCGGAGGAGGCAAAAGGAGGGGGCCATAAGAGGGTTTGAAGAAGCGTGGTCTGGTCAGCCTCGATTCTCTACACATGAGTATACAATTGCCAAATTTATATTGAAAAAAATTATAATATAATAGTTCAAAAGTGATAAAAAGATTTTATAATTCTTTTCAGATAGAAAATTATTACTTGATGCCAGAGAAGAAGCAAGATTGCATAGGTACTATTATTAAACAAAAATATAGTACCTATGATATTATAGTATTAATAATACAATGTAAATATAATACAGCACCATGTTATACATATGCAAAAATATTACAAATTCTTTCACAAGTAAAAAATAAGGATGAGATCAAGCTCTGAAAAAATTCAATGGCAAAAATAAGAGAATTTTATTTATATGTTTATTACGTATATACGTATATTATGGTATACCGTTGGCAAGCTTAATATATATGACAGCCAACTGGTATCGAGTCAAGGATGGCTAGACCGTTTCGTGTTCCTGGGGTTGCGTCGTCATGGGAACCGTCCTCATCAGGCGAAGTCTAAAACCCAAAATATTCTCTTCTCCTTTCCACCCGTTCATCCGCCTTTCTTCATCTGTCGCTTCGATCTAAGTATACATACATACGTACAGGTTGTTTTTCGCGACACTGTTTTGCATTCTATCGCCGGTTGTCTCGAGATAAAGTGATGGAGGAAAGAAATTTTCGGTTTTCTGGGAGAAGAGAAAAGAGAGACTCTTTGATAAGGCTTGATGGGGGACAAGAATCGGTTATACCTAAGTTACAATGTTCAACGTTTTTGCATTTTAATCGTCTGGAATTTCGGCCGCCTTTATCTTTATTCGGGGATGCCGCGTTTTTTCGTCGAATGTATATTTTGGAAGGAGAAATTTTGCATCGTATCTCTTTGATACTTTTTCCAAATAATCACTATTTCTAAAATATACATTCTATCTTAAAATAACGTATCTTCAAATTAAAAGGGAAGAGAAATAAAGAGAGAAGTGTAATTAATACAATTCTATTTTTAGGATATACATCATGATTCAAAGAAGAGGTAAAGAAGAAGAAAAGGAAAGGGATTAAATTCTATCTGTTTGAAATACCGTTTCCAACCAAATTGCAAGGAAGGAATAAAGAAAGGAAGATAAAGATTTTCTAATAACTGTCCTCAACGAATATATCATTTCTCCTAATTCTTCAAAGAAGAAATAAACCGAAAGAAACTTTGAACAAAGCAGTCACGTTCTCCTCTTCTACCATCATCAAACTTAATTCCACGCCGCGGCCATGCTTGTTTACGCCCGCCGGTGAAAGCCAGGATTGAATGCTAAGGAAAAGGCCAAGAGACTGTACCAACTGAGGGGATCATATTATTTTAGCTGAATTATTTATAGAACGTAGCCCGAGGGAAAAGGCACGAGCGCACCGTTTTTCCTCGAACAAGATTTCACCTGAAGAAAAATATATGCATATAACACGTGTAAGGGGGGAGGGGTGGCTGGAGGAATAAAAAGGAAAACGGAAATCGTCGTCCGCCAATGAAAGAATTGGAGGAAGAAATAGACAAGAAAAAAGAATTGTCGCCGATCCAAGCACGAGATTTAAGGAAATATCCCCTCTTTGGGGGGATGGTCGTAAAAACTTTTCTTAAACAATCACCGAGATTTTAGTCTGAAGAGGGATGAACGTTGGCTCGACGATCAATGGCCGAGTTTCAAGCGTTGAGGTATTTTCGCGTATATCGCCTCCAATGCAAACCAGATACGAAGGAATTTGGTGATAAATTTTAGAGGAAGGGTGCAGGAACGTGGTTAAGGGGTTGGAGAGATTGGAGGCTTGATACCGTGGATAGGATTCGAGGATATAAGTTCCATTTACATACTGGATTCGTAATTTGAATTTTTATCAAATGTGTATGATAAAAAGAAGAAAAAAAGAACACGAAATATTATAGAAATGTTTAATGTCGAATATATAATAATCTTGTTTAATGAGACTTAATAAGATTTCTTTGTTTCAAAATATCTGAATAACTTCAAAATATCTATTAACTTGTTAATCTATCAAAGTTAGTTGATACAAGGGCAGTTTTCAATACTTCAACAGTTTTCAAACTTTCACGAAGAAACTTTTTTTTTTCCAAACTTTCACGAATTTTCAGTGAAATCTGCTCCAATCGGGACCCAAGAATTTTTTCACACGAGGAGAAAGCTGTGCAACCCTCCCCTAGAGGGAAAGGCGATGTTCCACCAGATTCATTTGACCCTTGTCGTTCGACCTGTTTGCCCGATCTCACAGTTTATATCGTGCTTCTCGAGGACGTGTTCGTTATACGATGGCTCAAAGTGTCCACTATGATAAAAGCTGGACTAGGTGATAGCTATGGAGTGGCTTGTGATGTGTCGACGAACTTCGTGTCGAGAGATGTTTCAGTGTTGCCTTGATTCGAGCAGTGAAAGTGTGGAAAGTTTTCTTGTTTTTTAATTTCGGTATGTATGGAACCTTTGAAAGTTTAAGGAATCGTGAGAAATATTAAAGTAGAATTAATATCAAGAATATTTTAAATAATAGAATTTCAAGTGAAATTTAGAATCTTGTTTAAATATTATAAGGATATTCATTTAATTTCTGCATTATTAAAATGCAGAATTCTCAAAGAAAATTATAAAAAAACCTTCTTTTCTTAGATCTTTAAAAGAAAAGGTATTTTATTTATTTATTTATTTATTTCCAACATCTTTCGTCGAATTCGCACATTTCTAATTCTCTCGAAGAAAAAATTATTATAATTTCAAAAAAGAAGAAGATTTTAAAGATTTTTCATTAAAATTGTACACACCTCCAAATAAAAGTTTTGCTATTTTTCATCAAATTTATTATATTTCTATCATTTTCGTATCGCCGATTCGGTCGTTCATCTACGAAATTCCACCCTGGTTAACTCGGCTCTCTTCGTCGATTCGGCGGCGGCGACGGTGTTGGGTGGTGGCAAATATATTATGCCTCTCGTAAAATTAAGTTTTTACGATCATTTTATGGTCCACCGATGCTCAGTACCTATAGGTGTGCATTTCTTGCAGCTGTGCTTCGCGCGGATTCCGCTCGTGACCGCTCCTCCTCTTTCGTCATACGCATCACCGTAACATTGTAATCGTTTAAGGAAACTCGATTGACAGGTCCTGTTCCTTTGGTTGCATATTTATTCGTTTCATCGAAAGTGTTATTATTCGAATGAAAGAATATTCTGATTGGATGAATAGATCTTAAATAATTACAGTTGCTGAATTGTTTATTGTTTAGATATAGATTAGACACGATAATAAGAAATTTGTTGTCGAAATCGGAAAACTAGGTTAGTCAAATGAGAGAATATTAGAATATGGATGAGTAAATCTTATTAACTTTCTTCAATGATGAAACACACTTTTATTTCAGTTTTATAATTCGTTAGAAATTTTAATTTCCATATATACGTCTGTTTATTTGTGTTTTTCTTAATTATTTATTAATAAGATAATCGAAAGTTTTATCGAAATCGAAACTGTTATTCGAATGAGGAAACATTTGATTGGATAATCTGTTTTTAATAATGTTTGGTATAGATTATTAATCCTCTATATAAATATATCAAGAAAATAAATAGAAACCGTTTTTAACTCAAATATATTTATATAAAAGATAATAAGAATTTTTATATTTTATATATTTTATATAATAATTATAATAGAATTAGTTGAATTAGAGAAAAGAATTTCCCTACATATACGTTCGACTGGTAACAATACTGGTAAATTGAATGAGACCGTGCATGATTGTAGGAACGTATGATGAGTAAGATATAGATGAAAAAGTGAATAAATGTGTCATGGAAGACATATCGAAAAGTGCGTGCGAGGTTAGAAAGAATATAATATTATAATATTAAAACAAAATTAGTGTTAACTGTGATTAATAAATATAGACAAATATATAATTTATTTAATTTATGTCTCAATATAAAGTTTAGATTCAGATAAGTGGATTCAATCGTACGTTTAACTCATTTTTTGAATTATATAGTGTATTAACCTATTATATTACGTGCTTATTTTCGTTTATAGTGTTCATTTATATAATTGAAGCGATGCTTGCCATTAGGTGTTCAGATAATAAAGATTTCAATTAGTTTCTATTTAATTGACTATTGATAAAAGTTTCGTTTCGATAAATGAAGTTTTACTGTATCATTTCAACCAAATTGATGAAAACTGTAAACATTCGTTCCAGTACCAATATAAATCTCAAAGTTGGCAATTTTACGACCAGACACTTCAACTCGTAAGAATCTCGAGATCTTAATAATTCTGCGGTTTCCTCAAGGTCAACAAGAGAAAGACCTCTAGTGGTCTCTTATAGGAAAAGAAGGACACCGCTCGTTAATTAATTGCCATCGTCGATTTTTTACTTTGTTATTCATGAAATATTATTCGAGTAGTTTGTTACTCGACTACTTTGTCGGCTGTTTAATGAGATACCATTCAAGTTTCACGAATGTTCGTGGAAAACAAGCAAATTTGAACGAAATTTATTTAAAAATAATATTTTTAAATAAAGATATTTATTATTTCATAAGTAACATATTTCAATTGAGGTTATGTTCTTTATTTAATTGAAAAAATTTGTGATAAGAATATGTAGGAGAACAAATTACAAAATTAATAATAAAATAACATTTTTTTCTTAATAAATTTCTCACTGAAAAATTAGTTTCTGAAATAATTTTCAAAATATCGAATAATAAATATAATAATAATGTAATAAGTATATAATAATATTAATTAGTAGTATCGTATCTAATATAAACATTTGTATTATTATTATAAGAAACTAGTTATTTTTACTGAAATCAAATGATTTATTTCATGAAATGTTAAATTCTTAAATTATATTCATGAAATATTCGTGAAATATTTCAAAAATAAATTATTTCTATAATTTTTAAAAAAATTTAAAAATAATGTAATTTGAAAATTTCTTAAAATTTCTTAAACTCTGGAATAAATTAGTTGATTTTAGAAACATTGCATACAGAAAAATATATGTTTATAGGAATTCTTACATGATTTTGGATAAATCGCAGTTAATTTGATCGAGCAGTGTTCTTTTAATCCTATAATATATGTATTATTGTATATTATAAATAATGAATTTTATCGTCTCGATAAAAATAGTTAAAGCTGCAATGACGAAGACTGCAATGATTCTTTTAAGTTATGGAAAAGGAAAAAGTGGATGCTGATTATTTTACGATGAATAAAGTGAAATCATGTATAGGAAGTTAAGTGAAATTTTGTAAATTTAAAAATTATATTATTTTCTTAAAAATTATTACAGCTAAAATTAGATTTATTGGAAAAGTTTCCAAAGTTTTTGATTCGGTATTTTTTAATCCTAATATCTAAAAATGGAAAGAACAAATGAATACTTTATTGGAAAATTAATTGAAATATTTCTAAAGTTTCAAAATATCAAATCTTTATTAATTCTTTGAATACCTAACTCTACTTATTAATTACACGATGAAAAATCAAAAAACCATAAATAAATTTTTTCAAAAGTTAGTAAAAAAAACTTTATAATTATATTTCTAAAACTATTTTAAATTCTATTTTAAAATTACTATTCATTCATCAAAAAATTTCCAAACTTCATCATTCTTTAATCCTTAAATAATACAAAACTTTTACTTCTACAGTTATACAATCAAAAGTCAGGACGCTAAAAAAATCAAAGAAGACCTAATAAGAAAAATTTGCGGTATTCGACATCCGCAATTATCAACTCTCAAAGTTGCACAAGTTGGCAATAAAAAAAAAAGAAAAAAAAGAAAAAGAAAGAAGTCGGTACGGAGCCTCTTCACGTTCTCATGACGCGGCGGTCATTTTAAACGAGATACACATGGAGACCACCCACCTCATGCAGCTGGCTGATTATATATACCTCAATTTGGCCCGTTTTCGAGGTTCCATCTTAACTCTCATCGGGCAAAAATTCCGAAAACCAAGAATTTGGGAGACTTTGGAACGCGTTTCAAGAGATTACCACAAATTTCTCCACCTCTCTCCGCCTTTTCTGCTTCTTTCTTCTTCCTCTTTAAGGTCGAATGGCGTAGATGTGTTTCTGGATCTACTAATTGGTCGTAAAGGAAATTATGTTCGTCCTTTCGAATGGAGCGCGAAGAGAGCCGATTGGCTTTCTTTGTTAATCCTTTAAGCGGACATATTCGTACGGTGGGCGGATATATTCGTTCTCGACAGTAATATATCTGTTGCAATGTATCGACCAGAAATTTTTTTTACCTAGTAGAAATTATCGAATAATGTTTGATAAAATTGTCACGTAATATCAAGAGACACACTTTCCCATTTTCATTGTAATAAGAAAATATCGATACATTGCACGTCTAACGAATATTTTTAAAATTATTAAGTTAGAGAGAGAGAGTTTATGTCTTCCTTGTTCAATATTTCAAAAGTGCAATTCAGAAAATAGAATGTCCAATTTACCGAATTTGTCGTTAAATTCTTAAAATTCTAGAATTTCTTCATAGAATCATTCCCTGTGTTCCAATATTAACGAATAACCTAACCAAGCCAACGTGAACAGAAACTTTCGAACAATTTCGATTCTCAAACCGATTAATCTTTATTTCAACGTTCATGACGTCCTGAAATTGGGAATCGCGTGTCGAAGAGTCTTCTAAGTCGGCTAAACGATTATAGGTGCGAGAGATATAGTCCACGCTACCGGCAATTACTTTAACGACGCATATTAATCGGCACAATAAAGCCGGTTACGAGGGTATAATTACAATATTGAATTATGGCCGACGTTTATTCTTGTCACGCGATATTAACGACGCCCGTAGCCCACGCGTTTGTGAGAAAACGTTTATGCGCTCGTTCACAACCTCGCGGACATTGAATTAACAAAAGTCAAAGCCAAAAGGGACTCTGTCTCTTCCCGCCATTTTCCATTTCTGTCTGATGTCGATTGTCCTTTTCGAGCCGCTCTTTGTTACCGACGGATTCATCGGTCGAGATGATGTCTCTATTTCAATGCTACTTGACAAACTGGTACCGCTTCGCTGATACGATTTTTGGGATTTCTTCTCTTCGATGATTCAATGGACGATGTCCACCGATGACTAGTGATGGGATCAAATGGTTCGCAAGTGTGTTCAAATATTGATTAGAATTTTTTTACAAAAGTTTCTACTTTTTCTGTTTGCACTTCATTTTTATATATGTTAAGAATCATATATTGACATCAATTCGGGGAGCTAAAAATGTGGAGACTATATTATTACGCTGTTCTATTTCAGGATTCTTGTTTATGATTTAAAAATTTGTTGAATTTTGATTAGTGTTTGGTCCTTTACAAGTGAATGATATGTTTCCATTTTTGTCAGTTATTCTGTTCCATATGTACATAGAGTTGAAAACTTTGTGTATTTATAACAAATTTGAATATCCATAATATAAAATATGATAATGAAATATGTATGTAAAGGTTATCTTAATAGTAGTTTCATTTCTATACTTTTTTTTCATAAAAAAACTTTACATTTACAGAACCTAACCTATCCAACAAACGTCATCCATATTGACATTGATGCTTGAACGTTCTCAAAGAGTAAAATTTACAAGAGCATGGAAAAATATTGAAAGTGATCGAGAAAAATGACACGATAGAAAAGAGATGGAATGGTAAAGGGCATGCATGGGGTATCAGGTAGGAGACATAAGGATGCACTTTCGCCAAAGGACATTAGCCCAGTCACCGGTTGAACGTCTTGCACAGGAGCCCGCTTAAACATTTTATGAGGTGGTCGGCGTAATTTGATGGCCCATAAAAACGCCTAGTCTAGTTTTTCCCGGGGCATCGTGATCCATCGCTGTGGCGTGAGCCACGCGCCACCTCCTGGTCCCTCGCCTCTTCCTTTTCCCTTCAAGCACGGATTTATTCCTCTTTAACCGCCGTTAAATCGGTAGATGCGTCGCCTAGATTACGTTTCCACGATACTTTGATGCGTACCGTGGTGTCTGTGACCGATCAACTGTAATCGCCAGATCGAGATTGGAACGTATTAGTTGCTCTCTTCAATCTTCACTATGATAAATACGCGACCTAGATTACCTACATTTCCTCCATCGTTGTATCGTGCAACTATGATGGTGCCCGGTTAATTGTCGCGAGATTAGGTTAGGTTTGAGATATCTCGTTTATCCGGGAAGATAGTAGATGTTTTTAAAATTGGAGACATTTTGAATTTTAAATCATTTCGAATATATTATTTAATATTTTTCGATTAATTCAATATTGATTCTGTGATCCTCTAATAGATGTAATAATTTACAATATTTCTCATACATTTATTCACACACAGTATCTATCAGTATTTTATTTTTTCCAGATCCATTATTAATACAATTCAAAAATATAATCTTACTGTTTTCATTATATTTTGACACGTCATTGGTAAAAAGTTGAAATTCATTAGGAAAGGAAAGAAATTTAATAGGAGTCGAATATACACACACACGTAAACAACTATACGATTTTTCGTGAATGAAATGCTCCTTCCATAGTCTGGAAGGTTTCAAACGAGCGTGAAGCAGTTAACTGGAATGGCCAATAGAACGGCGCATCCACCATGATGAGAGCTAGGCCAGGAGCAGGAAACGAGAAACGTGGTGGAAATTGAAAATGGGATGGACGTCCCAGGGATTGGGGGAGACGGATATAGGAACAGAGCACCGACTCTCCACGGAAATTACGTGATCCTAATTTCAACATTTCATATGCACATTTCGATCGAATTTATTTAAATTTACACAAAAACAACGCTTAACAAAATATACAAAACTGCGAACATCTCGTAAATATATATTTGCAACAGGATCCTTTCTCTACACACGAATATAAGATATATTCAATTTTGGAAAAATTATATCAAGAATAGAAACTATTATTATTATTATTATTCGTATCGATCCATTTAAGAAAGAAACAATTCAAATTGCAAATTTTCTACGACGCCAAGACACGATTTTATCGCAACGAAATATATTCCATTCTCGAGCAGCGAGGGAAGGGGGAGGGGAGGGAAAGGGAGAGAGAGGCCATAACGCTTTGACAAAGAAGAAGGAACCAATAAGTCGAGCACCCTACGGCGGTCTGCCACGTTACATATAGCAATCTAACTTGTGTTTATGGCTGAATATATATGCATAGCAGTCCAGCGGATCTGTGGTGGCGCGAGAGGAACTCATTACCCCCGCGTCGAGAGTATTAGCATATTTAGAGGCAGTTCCCCCCTCCCCTCTGTGTCCCCGTCTCTTATCAAACCCCCACTCCTCTTGCTCCTCTCCCTTCCTTTCCTCTCACCCTTTTTTCCACG